TCAGTGGCTATCTGAGCCACCGTCCTCTCATCAATAAAACAGAATTAGTCACATCTCCTTTAAGAACTGTTGCATGATTAAATGAGATAAATATATTAACGTATTTTATTACTTAGAATATAAAATACAAACCATTATATTTAATTCCCATTTTTTCCTCTTCCTTTGGGAACAAAAATAACTTGAAAGTATATAAAATTGTTGCTCCAGCTAATTAGAAAAGAGAGACACTGCATCTCTTTCCACTGTCCTGTTTCTAATATAGCTTTGCTTGTCATGTGACTGTCTTAAACTCAGTAACTCTGCTGAGAATGCAAAATCGCCAAGTGGGTGAGTAGCGAGGTAACATTTCCAAAGGAAGGCATTAAATTAAATTATTAAACACACACAAGTAGGAGTAGTAATGTAAGAATTCTGAAAGATTCACAAGGAAAGGAAGTAGAGCCAGGGGACTATTTCTGGTCTTCTGACTCTAGAAAACTCTGAGCAGCTATTATGGCTATTTATTAACCCACAGCATCGTAAACTGTAACCCTGTTAAATATGATGAATGAGTCCTAGGTTCCGATTTTTAAATACCAATTCACAGGGATTTTAGAAGGCCAGACTGGCACTGCAAAAACGAAAGTCTTTGGGCAAACAGCGTAATGTCAACCTGTGATTAGATGCAATTATATCAACTAAATGTGACATGATGATGAAAAAAAGAATTTAAAATAAAGAAAAGACATTTACTTATTTAAATTCTGCCCCATAAATCTGAAATACACTTACTGTTATCACATGGGCAACCCTGAGCATCACTGTTTGAGGCTGAGTGTTTCACAGGGCCGGCACCACCTCATGAGGCACCTTTTGCTGCCCCCCTCAGCACCCACTCCTCCATGAATTTAGAAGGTGGTGGTCTCTGGGAAGACAAATCAGAAAAAGTCTCTCCCTCACACCATGAGGCCCCTAGCAAGAATCAGAAAAAGGCCTCGCTTGCTCTAGGCAACAGCCCTTCACTGCTCAGAGAAGAATCAAGAGTGATCTTGTCCAGGCACTCTCGGGGGCTCTTGGTCCTTTAAGTGTTTTCAAGGTACGATCTTCCCTATAAAGAATGGAACTTTTCATTTTTCACCTATCTGCGATAATTGTTGTAATTCAGCTCTTCTACCCTCAAGCTTAAAAAAAAAAAAAAATTCAGTGGCCTTTATGGAAGAAGAAAAAAAAAAAAGAAGCTGTTTCCATCTTCTCAATAAAACATACTTGTGTTTGCTCTCCTGGTACAACAGGGAAGTTCCAGGAAACTGCTGCAGGATGGTTGAAGGGCACCAGCCTGCAAACTCGGGAAGTGAGTAAGCCAGACCAGGGTGGCACAGGTCTGGCCCTCCTCCTCTCTGTTTTCCTCCTTCCCTAGGCCCAGACTGCCCCTGCCTGTCCCTGTCAAGTCCTCCAGAATCACCACTTCACACTTTGCTCCATTTATCACTTTGTTTTTATCACAGGCAAATAAAAGGAAAAGGCATTACTTTCTGCTTCTCAATAGCCTGCTAATTTGTCACGCTGTGTCTTCAGTTTAGGTATAGCCCTGTGTTTACAGAACAAAATGGTGAGAAACCCTCAGTATGAGAACCTTAAATACTATGATCCCTGCCCTCTCACCAACCAGGAAAATATATATTTTGATTTAAGAATGAAAGGAGTAAAAGAAAGAGATAAGAGAGAGCGTTTATCTGGAGATCAATGAGGATGAATGGTGAAAAGAAGCCACTTTGAGGCAGACCAGTCTGGTGAGTATCTCTTTAAAACAAGCAGCTAAAAATGCTTTCAACCTAGCAATACCATAAATGTCCTGCTGCTGTCTTGGCTTTCAGATTCTTCCCCGTACTTTCCATGAGCATTCCACTGGGAATTGTCTGGAATCCCAGATTAAAACAGCAATAACACAATTCCCTTGTTAGAATATTTATTTTCTTTTAGGTTTGGAAACCCAGCTGGGATGCATCTTCAAGTGTACGGCACAGCTTCAACCATCCTAGGGGCTACAAGAGATGTTTGTCAAACAGCACGATGGGCAGCTGAGTCCTGGAAGAGGAGAGGGAGGAGGGCAGCTCAGCCTCATGTGGAAAGCCCCAGCTGAGGACAAACAGCAAGAGCCTGGGAACCTCCACTTTCAGAGGATTCATTCCAGATGTAGGAAGCAACGGTGTTTCAACAGGGCTCATGCAGATTACCAAGGAGGTCTCCAAAGTCAGGCTGCCAGACAGTAGGCACTCAGGCAAAATCATCACCCTGACCTGAACCCATAATCTAACAACTGATTATATTCTAAGGTCGGCAGTAATATGGTACAGTCCTACATCTGATAATTATCTATGTGGGGATCCATCCATCCATCCATCCATCCATCCATCCATTCATCCATCTAATGGAGCAACTGACTGACCAGTTAGAAAAGATTCCAGCCATAAACCAATGCTATGGCCACATCAGTACACACTGGCCAAGTGTCAACCCTGAACTCATCTATCCATCCATCTAAAAAATATTTAGTGAACACACTTACATGGTGGCATAATAGCTAACAGCCTAGGCTCTGGAGTCAGACAGAATGGAGTGTGAATGCTGACTTTACCTCTTACTAACTCTGTGACCTTGGCAAGTTACTTAAATTCTCTAAACTCCTTATGACATGGATACAAAAAGGATATCTACCTTACAAGTATTGCTGTAAGAATTAAATAATTTACATAAAGGACTTCACACAGTGCCTCGTACAGGGTAATCCCACAGTAAATGTTAGCAATGATGACTGTGTGCTAGGCACATGGTAGCGCCTGGCAAACCAGTGGTAAGCAGCACAGCTGTGGCCCAATGAGAAAAGGGTCCACTCCAGAGAAAAGTAAAGGGTTGGTATGGAAGAAATAGTTCCAAGTAGGGAGAACAATGCCTTAGGTGAGATCATAATATTTTAAAGTTAAGAGCACTGTTAAACACTGTCTTGTCCAATCACAATATTATATGGTAGGAAAACTGAGTATTATAACGACTGACTCACAGTTAAACAGCTAGTTTAAGAGCAGAACTAGTTAAGAATTAAGATCTCCTGACTGCCAGTTCGGTGTGTGTGTTAGTTCATTTGACCATGATAATGTCTTATGGAGAGGCAGTTCTATGGTCAACGAGCTTGCATCTGTAAAGGCATGCAGAGGTGAACCAGGAGTTAGGGCCATCATGGGGGGATGTCTCAAACCATAGGAATATAAACCCATGAAAGAAACTTCAGCCTGTTTGGGACAAATGTTCACAATTTTTTTTCATTCTGTGCTCGACTTTAAGCTCCATAAGGGCAAGGAACTTGCTTTGCTTTGTTCATTTCTGTAACCCCAGCATCCAGAAGAGTGCCTGTCACAGTGCAGGTACATCAACAGCCATTTGTTGAATGAATAAATGAATGAGATTAGGTAGCAGAAGTGCTTTGCCTGCACAGCATGAGTGTGTTCCATCCTGAAGTGAATACACTGCTCACAGGACAGCTCTGGAGGAGAAGATGCTATTACCTGGCTGTGGTTTCTCTTCCAGTCCTGTCTGCTCCAATGGTGCCACAACACTCCAGTTTACTAAAGGCAAGCGTGGCCATAGTCATGACCCCGGCATCTTTACGGTACCAACCTCTTCTTTAAAAGTTCATTGTGGAAAAGACAGTAAACTGAAGCTGGAATGTGCTGACCACAGTATGTAGCAACTTCGTAAATACTGATGGACTCAGCAGGCTGGAGGAGGGAAAGGATACTCGTGGCCCCCAACTCCTTGCAAAAATCCCAGCAGTCTTCCTCACTGTGGAGGAGAAGGGATAAGCCAGCAATGTCCCCCCAGTATCTCCTGGCATCACAGTCATCTGATTTCCTGAATTATCAGAGAGAGAAAAGAGAAGCCTGCATCCTCTCCCTCTCCTATTGCTCTCCACTTTCAGCAAGCAACATTCTGGCTTTGGAGGAGGGATGGAACAAGAGGAGGAGGATAACCTGGGGAGCATTACCACGCCAGAAAGAGATGGCAAGCAAGGCTGTGCTATGACTTCAGTTATTAGGAGTCAACTAGAGAAGGGCCAAGGTGACCCCGACGTCCTCCATAACCTGGATGTGTGCCCTCGGGATAATATTCAAGCCAGAAAATCGGGTATTTTCTTGGACACTGAGATCAGGGTGGGAATCAGGTGATTCATTCTCCCCAGCTGCCCCCATCACACTATATCATCTGGGCTGGGTTGCAGCACAGGAAAAAAGACAAAAAGGCAATGACAGGTGTCAGCTGCTCTGGAGACTGGCCCCAGTAGCAGCAGTGTGTGGGCCCTGAGGCTCTGCCAAACGCAGTTGGGGATTCGGACAGGGGAGGCGGTAGAGGCATGGGGCCCGAGATGATTTGAGAGGTGGAAATACTACAAGCTGCCGGAAGCTGTGGAGGCAATGGGGGTATAAGAGAGGCAAGAGAGAGGGGAGTCAGGAGGAGTAAGAGAGAGGCTATGTAAAACGAAGGAAAGAGAAGCAGCCAAAGGGGGAAAAGAGGGACCGGGAGGCCCTGCCAAGAAAGGAAGTGCACACAGCTTAAAAGCAAAGCTGGGAGTGAGTCTAACTCAGAAACTGTGCACAATTCAGGGCCTAAGAAAATATTCAAGGGGAGTAAGTGTGAACTCAGGAAGACACACAAACTTTCCCAAAAACTCACACCTCTTAGGAGATTTGGTTGACTCTGCTATATATTGCACTTTTCCAGGTTTTGGGAGTAAGATGTCACAGAGACGAATACACGGAGAAACAAAGGATGGGAATTTAAGACTTGGCAAAGCCATTCTGGGGTGATTCCAAAGCAGCTTCGCTGAGCCCTGTGAAAACAATCTCAGCGCTTGCCCCCTCCATCCCGAAGCGCTGCCCCCGCCCCCGCGCAGTCAATCATTCTGACCCTCTCGGTCTGTCCGTAGGTCGGTCTGTGTTTCCCCGTCCCCGCGCGCGGACACTCACGCAGGTGCGCGGGCAGGCGGATCGAGTCTTCCTCCATCCTGAGCGCTCGGGGCACTGGAACATGAAGCGGAGTCGAGGAGGCGTAACTGGGCACCGGGCTCTCTGGAGGTGTATATGAAATTCGTTCCTGCTGTTGAAAATAAGGGCAGGAAGAGGGGAGAGGGAAAAAGACAATGAAAGCTTGGAACTGAGATGTTAAATCAGGAGAGGGGTGGGGGGCAAAAGGGACAGCGGGCATTCGGGCACTGCCATCCGGCTGGCCCCCTTTAGGCACTCTATACAGTTGTCTTTCAGATCTCTGGCATTTGGGATTTGTAACAAAATTCTGGAAAGGTTTAAAATAGGGCTTTTCCTTTGGACTCGGGTCAATGGGCATCCATTTTTCGTCTCTGTACTAGTAGTGGTTTGTTCAAGTAAAGAGGGGAGACAAGGCCGAGGAAATGAAAAAGTATGTCCAAGAGAATGGCTTTACAGACGACTCTCTCAAAAATTACTTTTCCAAGTCATATAATTAATTTCACCAATACATTAAAACCATGTTTCGTCTTCTCTGGCAATAACCCCAGCTTCTAATACAAGTATGATTCTGTACTCAGATCCAATGCGAGGTGAGCTCAAAGTGATGGCTTAGAAGTTCTACATTTAGTTAATAAATCTACGAGCAAGATTTTTCTATCGAGTGAGATTTTTCTTCCTATCTCATTACACAACAACAACCAAAAATATCCTATGTTTAATTTTTTCCTTCATAGCAGGGAATTATCTACGACATTAATTGGTATCTCCGTGTCCCTTCATTCTCCATCTCAGAATCAATATTTCCTTTCCTTCTGAAGTAGTTCAGAGCTCATCAAAAGAATTATCTGCATTTAAGGAAAGTACTGTTTCCCTGAAGATACTTATTCAACTGACAAGGAAAGGGGGAGGGGGCCTTGGGCAGATCCACTGTTTAAACTCAAACAGGCAGTGTTTGTTAGATCAATTAAAACAACTGGATGGGATGGGAAGGATTATTATTAGTTTTAAGTTAAAACATGGCAAATAATGGCAAGAAACCAACTACTGTGTTCAGCTAGAAAAGCAGTGCAATTTGCATCTTAGATCTACATACCAGCTAGTTGCAGTCCATACATAAACACAACTTCCGTCAGTTTCTGTGGTTTAACTGGGTACGGTGAAGTGGGACACCAGAGTCCAAAAATAAGTTGGGGGAAAAAGATCAGCAAGATGCCATTATGAAAACAGAAATCAAGAGCAAAAGAAAAAGCACAGATTAAAATAAAGCAAAGGGGGTGTTTACGTTTTGGAAAGACAGTTCTCTGACATTTTATATTTCATCAAATGTGCAAAGGGAAGCAGGGGAGTCCCCCGGCCCTATAACCAAATTAAAGATTCTCTTCTCATACCCTGGAAAGTTTGGTGGTTGTGGTAGGAAGTTTCTATTTTAAATGAAGATATACATATTTTTGTAATTTCTGAATGGAATTGATACAACTTCCCTGAGGCATCCTCTACCAGCAACTAGGGCATTTGGAATATTTTTGTTTAAACACACATCCTAAAGTTTCCTGGTGAATTTCTTAGTAAGGGCAGGCATATACCTCCTAGATTTCATTTCTGTATCAATCAAGATGACCTGTGAAAGGTCACCCAGAGGTAAAACCTTCAACTTCACTTTTCTTGAACTTTACCAAACATCACACATATTTTGAGCAACTCTAACTTAAGGATGAGTTACATTTTTGGTGTTTGGTTTGGGGTTTTTGGTGTGAAAGAGGCAAAGACATAAAAACACATATGGGAAACATACAAAATCTGTTTAGGGGTTTTTCAAGGTGAGATAGGCTTTTAAGTATTTTAAACATACTGTTTTTCCAGTTTAACAAACTCTCCATAAGCTTTAACCCTCGAATAACCTCCCAGTCCCAATATATGTCTAGATATCTTATCTACCGTTAACTTCATTCCCAGAAATAGCTTTCTGTTTTGGTAGGGTGTTTGCAGAAGTGAAACTGTTGATGAAGAAAACATTGTGCAGCCAAAGAGTTTTCAAATGGCATGGTATGAGTGCAAGAAAAAAAGATGGCATTTCATAATATGGTGACTTTCTCTTAAAGCAAGGAGAAACTCACAAGAGCCTGTAACTAGTCCATAGGAGTGAGACACCACCTCATCCCAGCTCCCTCACCCCTCACCAACTCCATCAACGACAAGCTGGGAGAAACCCAGCCATCAAAGTGGATTTTACTTTTTTTCTGGGAAATCTACCTCCAGCCTACTGTTAAGAGTCAAGCTAGGCATCATCTTTAAAATGTATATATTCTTACTTGTAAAATTATCATTGTATTGTCCCTTCATTTCACTGTACTTCCTCGGAGGCAGCCCCAGTGTGTCTGCACTTCTGCATGCTTCCCTGTTCTTACTGCTACACTGAGATGCCAGACTTCAGTGCTTGCCCTGGGATTTTAGACCACCCCCACCTCCAAATAATTCGAGATGGAGACAACTGTGCTATTTCATGAGGAAACCTATAAAAAGAAGGCTAGAGACTGATTGTGGACCTTGAACTTCTCTCATTCCTGATGACGGCTTCCACTCAACAATATCGCGACACCATAAGCTCGGGACGGGAAGCTCTTTTTAAAAGGTTCAATAAAAAGACTTGTCAGGGGCCGGCTCCGTGGCTTAGCGGTTAAGTGCGCGCGCTCTGATGCTGGCGGCCTGGGTTCGGATCCCGGGCGCGCCCCGAGGCACCACTTCTCCGTCCAACGCGAGACCGAGTCCCACGTACAGCAACTAGAAGGATGTGAACCTATGACATACAACTATCTACTGGGGCTTTGGGGGGAAAAAATGAATAAATAAAATCTTTAAAAAAAAAAAAAAAAAAAAGACTTGTCAGTAACAGAAGAGAGGGTATCTTGAACAAGAGGGGGAAAAGAAAAATGTGCTTCTAGGGCCTCGAGTAATTTGCTAGCAGCCATTACACACCTACCTGTGACCCTGGGTTCAGCGGCCAGAAGAGCACTTGGGGGACCCCAGAAAGGATGTTGCCCAGTGCGTGGGCTCCTTTATTCTTCCAAGGAGAACAAAACACACAGCTGGGAATCCCACACCACAGATTTATCTCCTTTTGTCTCTCTTTTTCTTAATCTCTAGAATGACTCACGTGCTCCTCATTTTTAATCTATTATTATAACCATGCACTTAACATCTACAGTGGCACAATCAACAGACCATTAGCAATTAGAAATATGAAACAAATACTGCTATCTCAGATGGCAACATCTAGAAAGAGCAGCTTAAGGAGATTAACATCCAATTTCCCAAATAAAGGAAACCTCTTTATCCTCACAACTGCTTCTCTGGTCTGACCCCAAGAAAGCGAAGGGGAGTACCCGCTTAGTGCTCATTCACCTCTGAAGCAAACTGTCAGTCAAATGAAAACCAGAGGTGTTTTATTTTAACATTACAGAGGGGAATAACGATTCTCCCAAGAGGATTATAACCGCTACTCTAATTAAATTAAAATGCTACAGACAGTGATATTAATGCATTCAAGTGGTGTAGAGAGGATAAACAGCCAGTGGAGGTCAATGATGTGACGAAAAATGCCGTGATGTGGTTACATTATTGTTTAGATGCTAAAAAAGATAAAACATACTGCTCTCCAAGTTGCAGACACAACCTAACAAACCGGCCAGCTGAACAAAAGGGAAGCCCTGCCATTTCTAAGGCCAATTGTAACACCTATCAGAAGAGGGGTGGGGAGCAGCACAAAGCTCTGAAAAGAGAAAATAAGGCTAAAAATAGTTTTAGGCAAGGGATGAAATGTAAATTTTACTAACCATTATAGAAAGCTTTTTTTTTTTTTTTAAGATTTAAATAGAATACGGAGTAGGGTTGCAGCAAGCACAACTATCCAAACCAAAATGAGCCCTCCTCTCCTTCCTCCCCCTGACCGTGAAGGGCAAATGAAGGGCACCCATCTAATTCTGCTCATTTTTAAACCGAGTGCTTAGAAACCTGTGACGATCGCATAAAACAAGCATATACATTTTGTGCTCAGTAGGAGAATGGCATTTCTCTTCTCCCCCCACCCCACACCATGGCTGCATATTATAGAAGAGTCAAAAAATGAAGAATCTTACTACCAAAAAAGTCTTTCCTTTTCAAAATTACCCAATATAGAGTTTCTATAAATCATGGGGATCCTCCTAGTGCATTTATGTATTTGTTTTTACACCTATAACTCTTCAAAAAGGCTAAGAGGTTGAGAAACTTAGAGCCTATTACTAATTAAGTATTAACTTTCTGGAAATAAAGATAAAGCATTTCTGGAATTGAGAAAAACAGAAATAAAGTTTGGTTGTACTTGCAAAAAATGGTTTACAGGTAATTTCAAAGATTCCTCAACTGCAGAGCTGAAATGTCCTTGATTTAGGAACTTTTTCCAGAAATAGTCCTCATCTCCACTGTAAATGCCAGGATTATCCCCAATGATGGTTTCTGAAGCCTGTGTCAAGTCCTGAGGAGGAAGAGTGTCATGGAAAGAGTGGTGGTCATGATCATTTTCTGGGGAACTATGGTAAAAATGCTACAGGTGCCCTTTGCATCCTGCTGCATTTAGGTGTCCCATTACTGCACTGAAAACTGGCAACCCTGGCGAGATAGAAACGAGCAGGCACCAGAGATACATTGGTCACGCTTGTAATATTCAAGATTTTGAAGGAAGGACTCTTTTTCCACCCTGCAGATTTTTGGGAAAGCTGCCTGGGAAAGTTGAGGCTTGTTCTACAGTCATCTTCTATAGACTGAACAGAAAGAACCTCTCCTCTGGGAAGCTATTTATTGAGATTTACTAAACTGAAGTCTGAATACACAATTATTTAAGTACACTCTTCCGGCTGCAAAATGTTTCAAGGTGGTGGCTTTGGCTTCCTTTAAATAAGCTTTCATTAACAAGCGAAAGTGATGTATCATCAAAAAACTGAACAAGACGGAAACTTGAGCCGTACAGTTTTCTAGATTTTTGGAGTCATGGATGCAAATAGACATACACAGGAACCTAAACTAACACATTCTTGAATGTCAATTTCTTTCACTTGAAAAACTACATTGAATATTTTA